GAGATACCGTCTCACGCCAGTTAGAATGGCGATCATTAAAAAATCTGGAGACAACAGATGCTGGAGAGGATGTGGAGAAATAGGAAGACTTTTACACTGTTGGTGGGAGTGTAAATTAGTTCAACCATTGTGGAAGGTAGTGTGGCGATTCCTCAAGGACCTAGAAATAGAAATTCCGTTTGACCCAGCAATCCCCTTACTGGGTATACATCCAAAGGATTATAAATCATTCTAAGGACACATGCACCTGAATGTTCATTGCAGCACTGTTTACAATAGCAAAGACTTGGAACCAACCCAAATGCCCATCGATGATAGATTGGACAGGGAAAATGTGGCACATATACACCATGGAATACTATGCAGCCATAGAAACCAATGAGTTTGTATCCTTTGTAGGGACATGGATGAACCTGGAAACCATCATTCTCAGCAAACTGACTCAGAAACAAAATCAAACACTGCATGTTCTCACTCATAGGCGGGTGTTGAACAATGAGAACACATGGACACAGGGAGAGGAGCATCACACACTGGGGTCTGTGGAGGGGAACTAGGGGAGGGACAGTGTGGGGTGGGGAGTTGGACAGTGATAACATGGGGAGAAATGCCAGATATAGGTGATGGGGAGGAAGGCAGCAAACCACACTGCCATGTGTGTACCTATGCAACAATCTTACATGTTTTTCACATGTACACCAAAACCTAAAATGCAGAAAAAAAATATTTTTAGGATTCAATGACAGCTTGTTTTAAGATTATTATACTTAAATTTTATACTATAATGTGCTGTACAGACATGGATAATAATTGTTGTGTCATTCTCCCTAAAGCAGAATTCCTCCTATGAATTTAGAACTGAATTCTAGTCCTGATTCTATTACATACTGTCACTTAATCATTAGTGTTTGAGTCATTTAATCTTTATAAGCCTCATTAATCTCTATTTCATGTAGTAATAAAGACTAAATGAGGCCAGGCATGGTAGCTCATGCCTGTAATCCCAGTGCTTTGGGAAGCTGAGGCAGGAGGAATGCTTGAGGCCAGGAGTTTAGGACTAGCATAAGCAACCTAGTGACACCTTGTCTCTACAAAGTTTTTTAAAAAAAATAATTAGTTAGGCCTGGTGGTGTGCGCATGTACTCCTAGCTACTTGGGAGGGTGGGGTGGAAGATGGAGCCCAGGAGTTGGAGGTTACAGTGAGCTATGATAGTGCCACTGCACTTCAACCTGGACAACACAGTGGGATCTTTTTACAAAAAAAAAAAAAAAAAAGAAGAAGAAGACTAAATGAGATAGCATATTTTGAAACTATAAAGGTTTTAATCAACCCAATTATTTAAAAATCAAATTAGTATCATACTTTAAGAATCCTACCATCTCCTGTTCTCCTGCTCCCTCAACTCCAAGCTCCACTTTGTTATTCTTATCACCTGGGTCCTGTGAACAATTGGATGGAATTGAGGCCTTGGTGTCCCTATTAACTTTAACAGGGATGGCACCAGGTTCAAGAGGCCGAAGAAGAGACCCAGAGCCAGCAAATGAGTCATATGGTTTATTGAGGGGAAACTTACATACAGAGTGGGCCACCGGCAATAGGCTGGACACGAGAACCACACCACCTGCAGAAAGCATGCAGTTTATATAGCATTTTCATTTAGTGCCCTCTCACTAACAGCTTCCACCTGGCAACCTTCATTTAGCCCAAAACAAAGGGCCTAGACCTCCTGTACGGCCTGCATTCTACAGGGCTCAGATGTTCCTCGTAGATAGGGAATGAGTCTTGGTTGTCCCCACTTGGAACTGCGAACACATTCAGCTTGTCTGCCATACAGAGTCATTTCCCTGGGTATACTTAATTTACTGCAGTCAGGTGCCTCTACCATATACTTGGGTTCTTTGGAAGCCATGGCTGGGGGGCGGCTATAAGGCTTGCACTAGTCTAGTTTCTGGAAATCTGTGTGTGAGGAGGCAGTGGAGGGATGGGAAGTGGGCAAGATAATATCTTGGACCACAGACATCTCAGAAACTTTTTTTTTTTTTTTTTTTTGAGAACGAGTTTTACTCTGTCGCCCAGGCTAGAGTGCAATGGTGCGATATCAGCTCACTATAACTTCTACCTCCCGGGTTCAAGCGATTTTCCTGCCTCAGCCTCCCCATTAGCTGGGATTACAGGCACGTGCCACCACGCCCAGCTAATTTTTTGCATTATCAGTAGAGATGGGGTTTCATTGTGTTAGCCAGGATGGTCTCGATTTCCTGACCTCATGATCTGCCCACCTCGGCCTCCCAAAGTGCTGGGACGACAGGTGTTAGCCACCGTGCCTGGCCAGAAACTCTTTTTTTTTTAGACAGAGTCTCACACTGTCACCCGGGCTGGAGTGCAATGGCATGATCTTAGTTCACTGCAACCTCTGCCTCCCAGGTTCACTCGATTCACCTGCTTCCCGAGTAGCTGGGATTACAGGCGCACACTACCACATCTGGCTAATTTTTTGTATTTTCAGTAGAGAGAGGGTTTCACTATGTTGGCCAGATTGGTCTTGAACTCCTGACCTTGTGATCCACCTTCCTTGGCCTCCCAAACCGCTGGGATTATAGGCATGAGCCACTGCACCTGGCCAGAAACTCTTATTAAGGCAGATTGGTTTAGCACTGTATGAGAGTTTGGGGACTTCTGGCCCCTAAGAGCCAAAAAGGAGTTGTATAGCTGCCCCTAAACTGGGAGACTCAAAAGGTAGTAGGAAGACTTCCTCCAGGTGCTTCAGCAAGTGGCTGGTAACCCGCTTCTTTCTACTAATATACTATTGGCCCACGTGGGTAAGCACCACTTTGCCTTGAACTATTGTTTCACTGCCATCATTTAGAGTACTCTAAAGACTAGACTTGAGCTCTAAGTAAGAAAACTAAGAAAACCATCATAGTGCCGCCAGTCAGAGAAAAGACATTTAGTCAAAACAGGTAGAATGCACACCCAGCAAAATAGAACTGAAGGGGCTCACTCTTACCCTTATCAATCCATTCACTACACTGGCTGGATGTTCAACTGCTAGCATCTGCATTTCTTTGCCTGAGGGCTTTTTCTGGCCACCAGAGCCCATCTTGCTGCCCATGTAGCAGGCTGGAGTGCAGGCCCCAGGAGCTGCCCTCAGCCAATGAAGGAAGTTGGTATATAAATCCCCATCTTCCTCAGCCTTTGAGTGGGGTAACTCTGAGGTATATATTTTACACTGGCCTCCGGAGTTCTCTAGTGACAGTAAGCTCCAGTTAACCACAGTGCTAATTTCCTTGATAATAAACCCATTGGCTTTCTTCCCTTCCCTGATTCACTTTCCTGCTCTGCTACCAGTATTTCCCAGGGTCACCTCCCTCATAGGCTATCTGCACTCAAAACCTTGTCAAAGTGCCTGCTTCTTAGGAAATCTAAAATAAAACTTGGACTGTGCTAGGAGAACTGAATAAAGTAAATGGAATACTGAAGCTTCTGCTTTGTACTGGACTCCCAGAATACTTGAAGCTATGCCTGGAAGCATTTTTTCTTTAGGGAATTTGATCAGCAGGAGAGAATTATGTACAGACACTGATGCCATGTGTTCCCAAACAACAGCTCAGCCAGATCATCCTCCAGTGAAGCTCTCAGGAAACAAGTCCCACCTACAAGCTGCGAGCTTCCAATTAGCTTCCAAGGCACTTGACTTCAAGTTAAGGCTTTACTCTTAAGTGTAAGTGAATAGTCAAGGACTACAGAAGTTTCTAATAGGATAGATGAGACCAATATAACAGCAAAAAGCAGCTGAGAGGAATAAGACTAGACAGGGAGAAGAAAACGTCAAAATCTAATATCCTCAGGAGGATAAAATATATGAAGCAAAAATATGACAGCACAAGAAAGGGACATTTGAAGAACAAAATGGAACTCTGAAGAAGTAAAAACTGTAGTTGTCTGGAAGATAAATTTGAGGAATTCTCCAAGAAAGAGGAGGAAAAAAAGATGGAAAACAGGGTAGCAAAATAGATGGTGACGGGCCTCTTATGCTAAGAGAACTTGGGCTTGATCATACAGCAGAAGCTGAAAAGATAACTTGTTCATATCTGAGTAGAACAAAATGAAACATAGGCAGTTGCACAGGCCAAGAATGGGGGGCAGGGTCACTGGTTAGGCACCTCTTGCTGTAGTATGGAGAAAGGATGCAAAACTGAGGTATACAGCGGCATTTACAAATTTAGACGAAAGATGGGAGATTAAATGGTGGAACAGACTAAACTTGTGACGGAGCAGGTGTGTATGGGCCTGTGGGTCTGATGTAAGACGAAGAAGAACAGATGGATCCAGTTTCTCCGAAGAATCCAAACGGATTGGACGCCATTAAGCAAGATGAGGAATGAATAAGGACGAACAGGTTGGGGTTGGTTTGTGCAGGGGGTGGAACGCAGATCAGAGTTCAGGTTAAATCAATATTTGCTGAGATTTCACTAGGTTCCAGATACGGACATAAAGTCCTTCATACTTGGAACCAGGTGCCTCAGGAAGGACAGAGGTGAGCCGCCTCGAAAACAGATACCCTCTCCAGGGGTTTGTAGTTGAAGAGGCACAGCTCTTGTCCAGGAGTTGGTGGGGGCAGCGATAAGTGCAATATACTTGGTGACAGGAATCACGAATACACTCTTGTGTTGAACAGGGTTGGCCCTGCAGAGGAACGAGCGACTGCTCAGTCACCACGAGGTCCTTCAGAACATGCCAAAGTCCCAGATGTGTGTCTCGGGGTCCACACTGAAGCCCCGAACCCTCCAAACTTCCTAGAAGCGCGCAGGGGGCACGGTGCGCATGCGTATAGCCACCCCAAAGGCGGCGGGAAGTTGGTTTTCTGAGTAGCAACAGAGCAGCTTGAAGACGGATTGGAAGTGGCGGACCAATAAACAAAGGTCTCATTGGCTTAGAGCGCTCAGGCTCACGACTCTTCAGCTTCCCATTGGACCTTTCAAGCGAGCAGGGGCGTGACTCCACTGGCTCCGCCCCGAGCCTTGGCCCAGTACCGGGGTCCAAGGCTGAGGGAGCGGGACGGAAGTGAGCGGGTCCCGCCCCTTCCCCTTCTCGTCTCGTTTGGAGTCGTCTTCACCGCGGCTGCCTCGGCTGCTCGCTCTCCGGCAAGCCGGAGTCCTCGTGCAGTACCCTCAGTCCCCGGCCGCGCGGAGCCGGGATGCACTGTTCCTGCTGTGGGTCCTCATCATGGAGACCAAACGGGTGGAGATTCCCGGCAGCGTCCTGGACGATCTCTGCAGGTACCGCGCTGCCTGACCCCTTTCGCCCCCGCCAGGTTTTCTCAGTTTCGCCGATCCCCAGAGGCCTCTGGGTCTCCTCCCCCGCTCACGTCCAGGTCCTGGCTTTCCTTGCCCGCCGCTGCTTGCTTTCCACCGTCGACCCTGCTCACCGACGACACCGCCCCTCTCTTTCCGTCGCAGCCTCCCTGTTTCTCACGGCCCTCCATCCTGCCCCGCGGAACACCCGGAATTTCCTCATTTTTTAAGTTACCCAACTGTTTTGCTTTCCCGCAGGCTCAGCCGCTTCGCCGGAGCCTGAGTCTTAGCGTTTTTTCGCCGCCGCCTCCCTCTCCCATTGTTTTTTCTGCTTCTGTGACTTTCCCACACCGTGCAGCACTCCCCCTCACCCCGTCTCATTCTCCCATGCTGAAGGAAGACCCCAAGGTAGTAATTTAAGCCTTAGGATCCCAGGTGCGCGGACCTGCGCAAGGAGCAATTTTCGGACTTACTCTGACGCCTGCGTGTTGTCTATGGCATTCTCTGTAAATTCGTGCAAGGAATTACTCTCTTCCACATCCCTAGATTTGTCTTTAGGGGAGAGAGGGGAAAAGTCTAGAGCTGCTTTTCTTTTTATCCTTGATTATCCTATTTTAAAGGAACTTATCAACCGCGGGGTTTTAACTCTGGGTATGTACTTCACAGAAGTATTTGTCAACTCTGATTTCAGATAGCCAGACACGTGTATGTTACTTAAAAATATTTCTTTTCCGAAGGTAAAATTTGGGGTGCAATGATACCCTGAGTTGTCGCCAAGTGTGTGTGGATTCTGAAGTAAATTTAGATTACAAATGAGTAAAAGCTCTGATAAATATCACCTTTTCGCTCACACTAACTGTATTTATGTTTTAAAAGGCAGGGTTTTAGTAATTGTATCTCCTTCACGCTGTTTTTTTAATGGGAAGGAAAGAACTGCTTTTGTGGAGGTATTCCCCCCCTCGCCCCGAGTCAGTCTCGCTCTGTCGCCCATGCTGGAGTGCAGTGCAGTGGCGCGATCTCGGCTGTCTGCAACCTTCGCCTTCCGGGTTCTAGCAGTTCTCTGCCTCAGCCTCCTGAGTAGCAGGGATTACAGGCGCCCGCCACCACGCCCAGCTAATTTTTGGTATTTTTAGTGGAGACAGGGTTTCACCATCCTGGCCAGATAGTGTAGGTCTTGAACTCCTGACCTCGTGATCCACCCGCCTCGACCTCCCAAAGTGCTGGTATTATGGGCGTGAGCCATGGCTCCCCGCCTGGAGTTTCTGCTGTGCGCCAGGCGCTACACATGTATTGTTTTATTTAATCCTCAGTTAGCCCTGTTTGGTAGGTGCACTTACTGTATTTCCATCTTCATCTGCGCAGACAGATTCAGAAACTTTGTAATTTACATAAAAAAGTTAGGTGACATTCATAGTAATTGACAAAATCAAGATTTGAAACCTATTCCTTTTTTTTTTTTTTTTTTTAATGTTGCCTGTGCTTTTTCTCTCACACCAGGAGGATGTAATAAGTTTAACGTTTACCTCACAGAAGTACATGCAGAGAAGTCAATAGCCTAATTTTACACCTAGTAAGAATGGTGTTGTACTTCTTTGGTGATGGTAGATTTATAATTTTTGAATTATGGTAGAGTCAAATGAACCACTTGAAAAGGCATTTAGTTTCTTGTCTCAGATTTTGTTAAAAAAAAAAAAAAGGAAATTTGATATGTGTATATTGATAAACAACTAGAAGCACATGAACCAATAGTGGGATTATGAGATTGTGATCGTTATTTTTTGTTTCCAAGGTTTTTTTTAACGGGTATGCATTTTATAGTTAGAAAAAAGTTGAAGATAAGTATTTAGAAAGGCGAGCAGTAATTAGCTGTGGGTTAATAGGGATAAGAGTTGATGTAGAAAAAGGGGAGGTAATCTTACACATTTTACAGATATCAGAGCTAGTCTTCCTACCAGTATTGAGGTTAATTTGCACGTTATCTAGGATTACATCATTTAAAGAAGTGGTGTCAGCTATTATGATTTTGTGTATGGAAACTATTCACAATATAATTATGTTGTGTTTTGTAAACAATATGTTAAACACCTGTCAAGTGTTAAAGATACTTGGTTTCCCAGTGAGTGTGTTTACACTATTATACAAATATTTTTGAATGAAATAACATTTGTTTCCTTTCAAGAAATTTCTTTTTGCAGTTACTGTTTTTGGCTGTTTAAATAAGGATATGATCTATTTAAAAATTAGGGTTAGCTTTAATAATGAAACTAAACCATTTCTCAAAACTTCAGGTTTTAAAATAAATACCATTTTCAAGTTGCTATTTATAGCTTTAATTAATTGAAAGATTTTTAATGTCACTGATTCAAGCTTTTGATTGTGGGTTAAAAAATTGTTTACACTAAGAATTTGGTAAACTTCTGTACAAATAAAGCTGAATTTGAGGTTAATTTTTCTGGACTTCTTTGTTCTTTTTTATGTACCTTTTGATTTATGAATTCAATCTAGATGCTTGTTTTTACTCCCTTCATTTTTTGCCCCAATTCTGTTGCTTGTTACTGTATTTAGGAAGTTTTTTTTTTTATGTGTTACTTTGTTTTTTGATAAATTATGTTTCTGTTAAATCTTGCCTTTTGATGTGAAAAATTAAAGCAGGAGACTTAAATTTTCAAAATGTGACTTTGTAACCATTAGACTGCTCATAACCTAAGGCAGAGTGTTATTTTTTCAGATGCTTTACTCTGTAACATTTCATTTGTTGGAATATTGTGCAGCTATTATAAATTCCTCGGGCAACTAGCACATGGTAAACTGAGGGAAAATGTTTGTGTATTAAAAAGACATACACAGTATACTGAGTGAGATACTTATTTAGTCCCTTGGTGCCTTTTGTTAAATTTTTTTTTTTTTTTTTTTTTTTTTTTTTGAGACGGAGTTTCACTCTTGTTACCCAGGCTGGAGTGCAATGGCGCGATCTCGGCTCACCGCAACCTCCGCCTCCTGGGTTCAGGCAATTCTCCTGCCTCAGCCTCCTGAGTAGCTGGGATTACAGGCACGCGCCACCATGCCCAGCTGATTTTTTGTATTTTTTTTTTTTTAGTAGAGACGGGGTTTCACCATGTTGACCAGGATGGTCTCGATCTATTGACCTCGTGATCCACCCGCCTCGGCCTCCCAAAGTGCTGGGATTACAGGCGTGAGCCACCGCGCCCGGCCCTTTTTGTTAAATTTTTAAGCATGCGTGTGTGTGTGTGTGTGTGTGTGTGTGTGTGTGTGGCTGGGGGGGTGGGTAATTTGTACATGTATTTGTATGCGGAAAGAATATGCACCAAACTAATAACATTGGCTGGGTTCTGAGTGGAGTGGAATTAGAGGAGAGGAAGAAAAGAGTCTTTTGTCTTTTTAAAAATTAATTAATTAATCAATTTATTTTTTAGAGACAGGGTTTCACTATGTGGGCCAGGATGGTCTTGATCTCTTGCCTCGTGATCCACCCCCCTCAGCCTCCCAAGGTGCTGAGATTACAGGCGTGAGCCACCGTGCCTGGCCTGAGTCTTGTCTTTCAGTATTCTAATGAACAAAAACTGCCTCATAATTTAAAATGTATGTGTAAAGGTAAATCTGCAGCATTTTATGGTGATACTTGTTTTTGATGTACCATGATTTTAACATTAAAACTCAAATACGGAGTTTTTTTTAATACTGTTTAAACTAGCTTATTGAAGAATTGAAAAGCATGTTTTTAAAGTAGAAACTGAAAACTATAGTTTAAGTTATTTGCTTCAAAGAAATTCTTGGAATTTTTTTTAAGCCCTTTGAAGAATTGGGTATACTAAGGCCTAAGGCCACACTAGTGTTAAAAGGAGAAAGGTATTTTCTGGCAACTTGTGTTGCTGCTATTTTGGTGATAGTATAGGTTAATTAAATAATTTGTGCTCATCTTCAGCTAACCATTTTAGTGTTGAATTCAACTGGAACATTTTTGTACTAATTGTAATCCTTGGGCTAATGTTGTATCTGTAGGAACATTGAGAAAATAACATTTTGTGTGATGCAGTTTTCCCATAACAAATTGTAGTTGAAGGCATTTTATTTCAGCTTTTATATTTTTATATTACTATATACATGTATATGTACTTTTAAATCTTTAAAACAGATCAAAAGCATTCACAGAATGACAGCATTAGATGTTTAATTTTCATACATCAGCTTTTTCTTTTAAGTCAGCTTTTTACTATTAAAAATATGTAATCCTGTATGGTTTTTTACTATTAAAAATATGTAATCATGTGAAAAGAGAAAGACAGATTTATAAATGACAGGCAACAGTCTTAGTTTCTTACCCTACCCTTTTCTATTCCTGTTGAGGCATTGACTTTTTTTTTTTGGGGGGGGGGTGTTCTTCTGGTGGATATGCCAGTTTCTTGTTTTAACTTTAGTTATTGAATTGGGGATTTGGTTCGACTTGGTAGATGCTAGGTGAGAGCTCAGTTTACCACACCCACTATTGCCCCCATCCTACTTCTCATATGCCTGTATCAGTATTTTAAATTGTTCCATTGTTTACCTTTCTGATTTTATAATTTTTCTTTTTTTTTAAGAGATAGGGTCTTGCTGCATTGCCCAGGCTGGAGTGCAGTGGCATGATCATAGCTCACTGTAACTTCCAACTTATGGGCTCAAGCTGTCTACTTGGCTTAGCCTCCTGAGAAGCCAGGACTATAGGAATGTACCACCATGCCCAGGTATTAAAAAAAAAAAATTTTTTTTTTTTTTTTTTTTTGTGTAGAGCTGGGATCTTTGCCCAGCCTGGTCTCAAACTTACTTATAGCCTGAAGCAATCCTCCTGTCTCAGCCTCCCAAAATGTTGAGATTACAGGTGTGAACTACCATGCTGGCCTCTTTGTGACTTTAATATACTTAAAATTATATTTCTTTTTTTTTTTTTTTTAAACCAACTTACAGTGTTTCTTGAGTCTCTGTTTGAT